CGCTCAGGGCCTCGCGCAGCCGCTCTCGGCCTACAACAGCAGCAGCTTGAGCCTCAACAGCTTAAGGTAGGCGAGCGGCGGCACGCAGCTTGGCCGGGGTGAATTACCTGGAGGAGGGACAGCACGTCCCGTCGGTGGGACGTAAAGGGGACTTTGTGCATTTAACGCTAATTCCTGCCCTGCAATGGGCCAGGATCACTTTCTTTCTGATCTAGCCTTCCTTAAGGGCTTAAGTTAATTGGCCTTTATTTTCCCATCTGTCATTGCGTACTGCGGTTGGTTTGGGGCGATTTTATGCAATATAGGTCAGAGGAAGACAATTGCAATTCTTGCAGGTTGGGCTGTACTCTCAAGGCTGATTTCTTAAAGAGTTCTGACTCTGTGAACACCTTCTGCTTTCTCCAGCTACCGACATGCCCCAGAGCAAGACGCAGGGTACAGCTCCTGTTGGCCCTGCTGACAGCCTAGCACAAATGGTCTTGCACCAGTGACTTTAAAGCTTTATTTTTTTCTGCCCTGCTGACACCTTGCAGTCTTTAGTGTTTTTCTCTTTATCTGGCCAGAGTGAGATAAACCTCAAGCAACATGTTTACAGGAACCTGTGATGTCTTTGTGAATCAGAGACCTCAGGTTCCCCCTACTCTAAGCTAGTGCTGTTAATACTAGGTCAGCTTTCCCCAAATCTGAGCTTCTGGCAGGCAAATGGTGCTCTTCAACACCTGGTGACCTGGCATTATGGTTCCTTCATGGTTTGACTAAAGTCTGGGAGGTGTTTAAGACTTCGATTTGTTTTTAACCAAGTTGGTGTTGCATGTCTTTAAAAGTCACTGCAATAAAAGCGTGTTGTTGCTTGAAATAATGACAAGTAGAATCAAGCACTACGTGAATATATTTTAAATTCTGATCAGTAGGAAGTGAAACCTGAAAAATTGCCACCAGGGTAATCGCAAATATTTATTTGCTGACTCGTCCGACCTCTTCATAGGTGTAGAGAGAGGCATAACTGTACAATAAGCATATAGCTGTTGTTGCTATCTCAACTTCTTTCCACATTTTCTGCAGTCTTTCATCTTACCAAGTCACAAGAAAAAAAAAAAATTAAACTTTTATTAATGCAGCGATCACTGATTTTGAGCTTCATTTGCCTGAAAACATGAATCAGAAGCAGTCATGTAGAAAGGACCGGATAATTAAGTAATGAATGCACAGGGCTGATTACTCCTTTGTGTGTCATTCCTGTGTTGCTGGAGGACAGAGTATCAACCTCTTGCAGAGAGGGAGAATATGTCTCAGGTTCTGGTGTGGAGAGACCACAGGAAGTAAAAGATAGTGGAAAAGGTACAGCGGATGGTTGGAGAAAGGAGTTTCACAGTGGCATTGCTTGGAAAGTAACTTGCATTTGTAATGTGTAGCTCACATTAGTGATGTGTTTAACGTGGTGGGGTTGTGTATGTGTACGGTTGGAGCTTTTCTCGCTTCCATGCAACGCTTAATGGCTTTTCTTTTCATTAACAGCAGCAGCAGAAGCAGCACTCCTGCCAAGACTCAGGCCCCTCCTCCACACATATCTCACCATCCCTCGGCCTCCCCGTTCCCCCTCTCCCTACCCAGCCACAGCCCGCTGCACACCTTCACGCCCACCCTCCAGCCCCCCGCACACCCACATCACCCCAATATGTTTGCCCCTCCTACGGCTTTGCCTCCTCCACCTCCATTGACGTCAGGGACGCTGCAGGTTCCAGGACACCCAGCTGGTAGTACTTACTCAGGTAAGAGACAGATGGATCGTGGTCCGAGCGTGTTGGGGGTTGGACTAGATGACCTTTAGAGGTCCCTTCCGAGCCAAAGTGTTCTATGATTCTGTGTCTGCTGCAGTGTAGGAAGCGGATTCTCCACTTTTAGTCAGAATAATGATTTTTAATGCATTTGATGAGGGCTGTCAGTTGGGTAGAAGCTATACTTACTGCAAAACAATTTGGAGTGTTACCAAAGCCAAAAACCACTCAGACATACCCAATGACTTGTCTTCTGCCCTGCGAATGAATGTTTTTGGAAGGCTGTGCTTTTTCCATGTCTTTTTTTTTTTTTTATCTCATGATAAAAGCACACTAGAGCTCACAAGGTGCTCACACAGGATCCGTGACCCTCTTAGTGAATGTCTTTGCTGCAGCTGTGGTCTGTGCTCAGCGTGGCTTCCTTGGCTGGAGGGAAGGGCTCCAGTGGCTGTTCACGCAGTGGTCCTGAGCCCCTGTGTGTGTAAGGTTTTGTGAGAAGTAGAGATTTCTGACAGTGGAGAATATTGTGTTCTTCAGACTTTGCCTGTGGGGAGATGTAAAGTGTCTGTTCCTCCCAGGTCACCGAGAGAGATCTGGGGGAAGAAAATGGAGGATTATCAATGTTTGAGTAACAGTGTTTTGTGTCCATGCAGCAGGGAACTCATGTTATCAGCAGCCACTCAATGCTTACTCTCACTCCAGCTTGCCCCAGCCTCCTCATTTATCTAGGACGATGTCCACATCCATACTAATTTAGGGAGAACTCTCATGCTCAGAGGAATGCTGTAGTGAAGACAGGCTTGGTGAAAGCAGGGAAATGGAGACGTTCTGCTGTCTCTGAGGGATCCCAGGGAGCTTTCGTACCCTGCACAGTGTTGGGATTTACCTCCAGGAAGTTTTAAGTACAGCGTTGCTACCACAGCCAGCCCAAAGCACGAGGCAGGAGGTCTGGGAGAAGCCCTGAGCTCACAGGGGGCTGTTTTGCCGTTTGTGTTTCAGAACAAGATCTCCTGCGCCAGGAGCTGAACACGCGATTCCTGGCCTCGCAGAGCGCGGACCGCGGGGCCTCCCTGGGCCCGCCGCCGTACCTGAGGACCGAGTTCCACCAGCACCAGCATCAGCACCAGCACACGCACCAGCACACACACCAGCACACCTTCACGCCTTTCCCTCACGCCATCCCACCCACTGCCATCATGCCGACGCCAGCACCGCCCATGGTGCGTACCCCAGGCAGAAATGTGAGGATAAGTAGAGCACAACTCTATTCTTTATTACCAACCTTTAAGAATTTGCCAGGCCGTGGGGAAGGAGTGTTCTGCTGCCCGCTGTGGCTGGGTAGGAGAGGAAGGGCTGCCCACCGTCGTGATGGGCACGCGTGCAGTAGGTCCAGGTGGCAGCGCAGGGGCTGAGGGACGAGGCTGCTGGCTGAAGGGGACTCTGAAGTGGGACTGCAGCGCTTGGAGTGGAGCACTCTGGTGCCTCCTCCTTTTGCTGTCTCGTAAAGACCTTGTTTTACCTTGAAGAAAGGAAAATCCCAAAGAGTTTAATTGGAAACTAATTTTCTGCATACTTTTTCCTCTCTGTTGGTTGCCAAATAATAGAGAAGTAGTCTTCAATTTTACCAACAGAACCAAATCAAGGAAATATTAAGTAACTAGTTTGTGCTTTGATCCCTTTGCAGTTTGACAAATACCCTACAAAAGTTGACCCCTTCTACCGTCACAGTGTGAGTTTTATTACTCTCTTTAAAACTGACTTAACTGCTTTTCTGTGGTGGGTTGGGATCACCACTCAATCAACAGCACAGTGTCCAATCTCTCCCTAATCATCACTCCAGGATTTACCATTATCGTTCTTGGTTGCTTTGGCTTTTGAAGGCTTGCATTTGTGGTGCTTGTTTCTGATAAAGATGCAGTATCAGCTTTTCCAATCAAAAGATCTCTTGCTCTCACACCGTCTGAAGGCAGGTTTGATGTGAAAAAGATGAGACAGAAGAGCTGACTGTTACATGAAGCAGGAGAGAGCAGTAATTTCATCACTGTGTTTCAGTTGTGCCACAAACCCTTAGACTGATATTTTTCCTAAGAAACTTGAAATGAAATGACAAACTATCATACGAATCCTTCAGGGATAGGTAATCTAATAGTTTTCCTAATATATCATATTTTGGTTTATAAAATCGGAAAACTTGTCCTATCCTTCAGATTTCAAAGGCACATCTGCTCCACTGGGCTTGTTATGTTTTGAAAGCTCCATTTGATGACAGCAACATAAATCCAGCTATGCACTAGATGTGTTTATCTAAGAGCTACCAAAAATGTTATTTATTGAGATGAACTGATTTTTAATATACCAGTTAATCATAAAGCTTCTGCTCTTAAAGGTTTGAATCTACCGATTCATTTGCTGCTGAAATACTGGCTGTATTTCCTTCATCCTACTGGCAGAGGCAGGTACCTGGTCGAATACAAGAATTTGTAAATCCCATAGTGATATTTTGATGAGAGAAGGAGTACTGCATCAGCACTCAGAAATCTGCAAAGCACTTGGCTCTATGTGTTGGTTTTGCGTAGAAGTGGAACTGGGCAAAAAAAACTGGTTAAGGTGATAGTGTGATGCTTCCTGTTGTACCAATTAAACAATGATTCCTACTAACAGCTTCTGCCTGTAGTACATGTGAATAGTCCTGTTCATTTCTGACACCTCATTTGAGTAACTTTAACTGTGAGAGTGTGTTTGCAGGATCAGAGCTCTAGGAGTATTAGGCAAACATTTAAGCCTACGATAATCACTTCTGCTCAGAAGGGTAATGCTGCTCGTTTGCATCATTGTTTGCAAAATTGCTCTCCTATTTGCTGAGCTTTACATGGATTCAAAAGATATATTATCATTAATGTGGCGTGTTGATTCAAGCAAGAACACAGAGCTGGGAAATAGGTAAATGATTTCTAGACAAATACAGCCCAGAAGTCGACACGTAATACGGGAAGCACTGCAGAAGTCTCCCAACTGTATAAGCTTTCCAGATGCGGTGACATAATCTCCTGTAAATCTGGCTGTTACCACAATTGTAAAGATCCTGGTATTACCTCCTTAGAGTAGGGAGAGGCTTCAGGTTGTCCTCTGCTAGCCAGTGAGTCAGGCTGTTGAACTTGGCGGAGCTCCACCAGCAGAGGTCTTGTCCCTCGTGCCTCCCCTGCCCTTCCTTTGGGAAGGGTTTGTCCTTGGGAAGGGGCTGCAAAGAAATCACTGTCGTGTCTGTTGGATATTTAGCAAGCTAGTACCAGAAGGTCAACGTGATGGCTGTACATTACATAGGGCTGACAGTATTTCTTAACCTACAGCAGGGCCATACTAGCCAGGCTATTTCAGTAGTCTCTTCTGCTGTGACTATGGATTATTTAGGAAACAGAGGAACTGCCTGCAGCAGTTCCCTGAGCAGCTGCAGCATCCAAAAGCACAAGTGCATAGCCAATAGGGCCTTTCCTGTTGTAGAAGTGTGAAACTGGCACTTCCATTCCTGTTCCTAGTGATGAGTTTGCATTATAGATCCATGCCAAAAATTCAGATATCTTAAAAATAGCTGGCAATGTTTTTAAACTTTATAAGGGCATTTTGCAAAACAAGACCTGTTCCCTTAACATCAGTCTACTTTAGAATAGGGAACACACTTCACATAGAAGCTCATATAAAGATTTAAAACAGTTTTCTTTCTTGGCATCTTTGGGTTTACAATAATTTCGGGGGGGGGGGGCATTAATTTTACCTGGAGGTCACACTGCATCAAGTCCAGTGCTAAATTGCACCTGGCCCCAGGAGAGCTGTGGGTACCACATTGTTCCCTGAAGAAGCTATAAGGGGAAAATGTTGCTCAAAAGAGAGGGAGAAAAAGGAAACACTGACTATTAAAGATTTGGTCTGAAGGCTAGAGGAAATTAACTGATAGAAAGAGATCCTGGAGATACAATACTTATATTTTATCAATAATTTTGACCTTGAGGAACGGTCACAATTAACTTACCCACTTTTATAAAATTCTAAGGAAAGGATTGCTTATTATTAGTCATAGCCAAGATAATATTAAGTGTTATGTCTCTTTCCATCGTTTGGAATTAGTTCATTACACAGAGAACTAAATGCAGAAGACACTAGAGGATTTAAAACACATTTTACCCATTAAAAGTTACTGTAAATGAGGACATGTGTCTCTTAATGATTTCTCAAATGCCTACAGTTCAGTATCAGCTAATCTAAAAATGCTTTCTGCATCACTGAATGGATCAGGTCCAAATTAAATAGAATTAAAAACAACAATAGAAGTGTATTATGAAAGGAGACCTGATACCGTGCTTTTAAACCAAGAAAATCTTTTGATACTTCTAAAATACTGAAATATTTTCTCAGCTTTCAGTAAATACGGTATGAATAAATGGCCTTGCCAGATAAGCTAGTGGAAGGAAAAATGATTAAGAAAAGCACATACATATGCCTGGCATTAAAAAAAAAAAAAAAATATCAAAACTATGCAATACTGATTTACTCTGGGATGTGATTTTTTTCTCAGTGTTTGCCCACTCCGTGTGTCCAGTCTTTTACTTTGCCCAGTCCTGCTTCTGGTCAGATGGCCATTAACTCATTTATTTTGACCTTAAAAGTAGCACACACTAGAGTGATTTTTGATCAGCTCTGTTCAGAGGTGAATTTGCATCAGCCAGATAACCCCCTTTAGGTTTTTGGGTGGCAATACCAGCAGTGTTAGCAGCCATCCCCCATTAGATCCCAAGGTTTCACAGTGAGAATGTATTTGGAGTGTGATGCTTTGAATCCCCGACTCATACCAGATAGGAGTTTTGTGTGTAATCTCAGCATTTGCTGTGGAATTGGGCAATTTACCTGTGTTACAGCATGAGTACAAGATTGACAGCCAGACCACAGAGACAAGATAAGATTTGGAGGTTAGGATTGACTTGCTTGTTTCCCGTGTGTTTGTCTGCATTAGTGCAGAACTGCTTTTTTGTTGTGGTTTTTTTTTTTTTTCCTAAATTCTCCTAGAACAGGTACATTTGGATCAGTGAGGTCAGTGGAGGTGTGCGCTTTTTTATGCTTAGTAGCCTGTCTTTCTAAAAACAGTACCCTCAGTTTTTTGGGGGGGTCTGCCTCAGCATTCCTTTTAAATAATGGTTTGTAACAAATCAGGTTGTCTCTCTGCTAATATTAGATGTGGCAGGATATCCTCTCAGACAGGCTAATGAAGAAAGAATTGCACGTATTTTCCTCATTTCCTGCAGATAATATTGAAATCCTAACGTACTAATGGAGTTTTAATGATACAATATCCTACAACTTGTAAGAGTTTTTTTTTTTTCACTTAAACAATAGTTTTCTGAGTCTTATTTGGCTCAGTCTTTTGCCTTTTCTCTAGACACAGTTTCAAAATGAAACCATTTAAAACTTCTATCCAATTAAAAAAATTATCGTTTGGATTAAAAAGAAAGTCTCTTTTATGCTGTGATGGGCTCATCCAGGGGACAGGTTGCTGCTTTATGATTTCACAACTGCTTTTAAGCTCTAAACATCATGACATCTGTGAACATTTCATCGACTGCTTTAACTAACATCGTTGCAACGAGATCACGTCTTCAATGCTTCTCAGTTTTCTCCATGTGCCATTTCCCTGGTGTTCTGCAGGAATATCTCTCGTCCAGCTTCCTGTCTTCATTTTGATGTGCATTTGTATTTATGTTCTTCTCTCTTTTTGTTGCAGCTGTTTCACTCCTATCCTCCAGCTGTATCAGGGATTCCTCCCATGATTCCTCCCACTGGCCCCTTTGGCTCGCTGCAAGGAGCATTTCAGCCCAAGGTAAGAAATACTCAGGTGTGCTGGTGTTATGGGTCAGGTTAGTTTTGGGGTTAGCATGTGGTTCAGGTTCTGGAGCAATTGAGATCTGAGTTACAGCTTAATTCCACAGAGGACCATTGGACTTTTCCAAATTTATTACAAGGAGGAGTTATTTCTCATCAGATTCAGATATCTGTGTATATTAAAAAATTAAAATACACATAACGGCATAGTTAACTTTAGAAGCAATACAATTAGTTCTCAGATGGTATGCATTAAGGTCAGGCCATGTAATAATTAAGATTTTAAGAAAATATGATCACTATTGTTTGCTCATTTCCATAATTCTCTCACAGCTCCAGCACAGTGCAGTACTCTGATCGTGTTCTGCTCTTGTTTGTGATCTCTAGGATAGATCCCTGTGAGCAGTGTGAGCTTCTCTTCTCTTGTTTCTGTGAAGTCACTCTTGATTTATAACCAGGAGGAAATCATACTCTGTAGTCTGTTGTCTTTGCAACTGAAGTCTGAAATCAGGGCTGAAGTGTCTGCAGAGAAGACACCTTCTTTCTTAAATTGGCCCCTCCACTGTAATGACTGAATATGTAAATTGTGGTTCATTAGTGGCATTCTTTGTATGTATGGTAATCAGACTGTTAACAACTGTTAATTGTTAGTTATGCTGTAGCTGATTTCTTTTTTTCTTCATTTTAATGTGGGAAGAATCTCTAAATGTAGTATTTGTAATTTTTTTTTCCCAACAAAGCTTTGTTTTGTTAGATTAGGTGAATATTCACACTGAAATCATGGGAAAAACCTTTTTTTCTCAACTGGATGTTGCTTTTTCCTGGTGTCTGTATGGCAGCAGTTCATTGTGGATGGAGTTCAGATCCTTGTACAGTGCATAAAGAGATGACTGGTGCTTTGTGTGCTGACAGTCATGTTGGCAGCCTGAGCCTCTTCCAGTGCTTTACTGATAAACAGCAGAGCACAAGCCTGGTCCTCCAGGTCCTGCTTTAGATGCTGTGTCATAAGTATGTTGCCAATCATGTTTTCAGTAGTGGAAGGATTTTCCAGTGTAAACAGTCCCTGTTCCCTCACGTGTTTTGGATTACAGTAATGGGACGTTGGTGGATAATGAAAGTTTGAAAATTGAGACTGCAATACATTTATTCCTAAGTAGATTAGAATAGTTATCCTTTCCTCTTTAAAACGTTCATCTTCATTGTGTAGGCCATGTTAATGCTAAGTGCTGTTTTTCACTCTCTGTTGCTTTTATGCATTGTGTGACTCATTAATGTTGTCTTTCCTTGTCACGTTTCTAGACTTCCAATCCTATTGATGTTGCAGCCAGACCTGGAACTGTCCCACACACCCTTCTGCAGAAAGATCCACGGGTCTGTAGAAAATGTTATATTTTGTTCAAGTCAAGCTGTTCTTCCTGAAAACCTTAAACGCTAGAGCTACCATCTTCAATATGTCCAAATGAACGCCCTAAAACTAAAGCTTAGACTGAACTGATTAAGGCAATGAGAGCTAGAGAAGTTGTATTTGAACAGCTTAAATGCTGATCCTTAATTCTGTTCATTATTAGCAAAATCGAACAGGTACTGTGCAGTGGAAGTGATTTTTCCTTGCTGTCAGCATCCCCACAAGCCCAGGGGCAAAGGCATAAAAGTTCAATTCAACATAAAAATGTACAAACCTCTTCAAGATTTATGTTTTTACTCTGTAATTGTTTTTAATGTGGATAATGGCAGTTATTCCCTTGGTTACTGTACCATTGATTTCACCCGTGAAATACAGACGCGCTTTATTGATCACTTGGCGCCTCTGGATTTGTGAGTTGTAGCCTATGTGAGCAGCATTTATTGTCTCAGCACTTTGGCTCTTAGCCTTTCTCTGTTCTTTGCGAATGCCCATGGGTTGTTGGCATTTTGAATTAATATACATTGTCTGCAATGAGGAGCATCATGCAGTCATGTTTTTAGCAGAACAAAAGCAAAGAGGAGCTCCCTTGAAAAATCCACGCTGTGGCATGGCTAAACTTTGAAGTACAGCAGAACTGTTTCCTTTGGGTTATGCCAAGTTTGAATACTTTGTTTTGCCCTGAATTGGTGCTGTAGTTGAGCTTTATACCAAAAGGAAACATATTTTTTTATTTCTGTTTGTTCTATCTAATTGAAAAGATCACTGGAGCCTCCCATCATTAAGTCGTTTAGCTTTATGCTCCTTTTCAACTGGTCGTGTAGTTTTGATTATTTCAAGATGATGTACTGTGCTATCACTGGAACTGCAAAGCACCTCTTAGACCTATAAATCTCCTTTAGCATTGCCTTTCAAAAAGAAAATCCAAACTAAATGAGAAATAGCCAATGAATTGTATTTATTTTCCAGCATTAATTGATTAAATGTGAGCAAAAAATAAAAAAGGGAGAACAAGAAAATAATCTGCCGAAAAATCCCAGGCCACACACAAAAATATTAATGAGACAAATGTTTATTGATACAGTCCCTGTTTACCAGCATCTGTTGCAGTGTAAGAAATATTTCAGGGAAAGCCCACTTGTGACAGAGAACCCCTTGGGCAAGCAGTCAGTCAGTAATGGCTGTTGGAATGCACATGTTGAGCACCTAACGCCGTAGCCACGGAACAGGCACATCACTGTCTGAAACTCCATTCCAGCCCTTCCAACCCAGTTCATGGGGTCAGCCCTGTGGAAGAGGGGCCCAGGCCACCAGCCAATCCTCTCGTGAGCTCAGCAGCTTTGAGAGATGAGAACAGAAGTTTGCCCAAAGGACAGATCTGTATTTTTCTTCCGAATAGTTAACCAGCCCTTTTTGTAGCATTAAATCAACAGATTAATGATGATGCCAGAGGACAGAGAGCTCTGTGTGAGGCTTGTTTAGTTGCTTGTCAACACTTAGGTACGACAGCCGTGGGGGGAGGGACACGGGCTCGGATACGGAGGCAAAGGACTAATTATTATCTGAAAGAGCTTCATTTGAAAGTAAAATGATAACATTTTAATTTCATCTCTTAATGAAGCAATACAAATTTGTTAATTAGAGCAATTGTTTGAGTGACAGGCATGTAACCAAGCTGTCATTTCTTCTTCACAGTTGACAGATCCGTTCAGGCCCATGTTGAGGGTAAGAAATCTTCTTGTGATACAGTTTGTCAAGCTCGTCTCAGTCCCCACTGGGTTAAAGCAGCAGAGCAGTTACAAAGCAGTGCCACGTTTCATCCTGGCTATTTCACACCGTGCTTGCTGAGCAGCCTGGTCACTCCTTCACACACATCGTGCAGGCACTCCAGGGGAATACACACTTTCAAAGTTGGAAGATTTCTGTTCTTCTCCTGCAACCCCCTAGCATGACTGCTGGAAGAGAAATGCTGATGGTCCTTCTGTCGTGCTGGTTTACGAGGTTTCCTGAATAATCCTAGAGACCCACCCTGGCAGTGACCCCTCTGTCATCGCCCAGCAGGCTGAAGGATTTTGCTTTCTCTTATTTACTGGGTGTTTTCAGTGTTATTCAGTATGGTATTTCCTACCCCATTATATCACTGTCAAGTACAGACAGACACCCCACTTCAAACACAACTTACTTTAGAAGTAAAGATCAAAAAATCCCATCTTACAGTGATGCAAAAGTGGTTTTGTAGTTATTTTTTCAATATGTTCAAGGAAGTGTGGATTTGATCAAACCAGCCCAATGAACTCATTAAACCACTGGCACAGCCACTTGCTGTGAATAAACAGGATTGAGTTCAGGGGAGTGTGTATGTGAGATGGGTTTTATTTTTTGTGTGTTTTTAGTTGTTGGTTGATACACACCTAGAAAGAGAAGGCAGACCATATGCCATAGTTTGTGAAGCATCAAGTAGCTTGAGCTTCTTGAATTCTTGTGATTATTTTTAAATCTGCAGGAGTTATTAGTTGTGTTGTTAACTACAAACCCCTAAATAACAAAATTGGAGAAAGTATATCCTGAATGAGTCTTTTTCAAACAAGATCTCCAGGTGTTGATTTTGCACTGTTTCCAGGACAAGGAAAACCAAATAGCACTCTGATTTTTCCTCCCTCACTCCTCCCCATGACTTAAATGCATGGTGACAGGAAGGATGCAAAGAGCCCTCCCAAACACTGTGAAGTGACTGACCTCAGAGTTTTTTCAGTATATTCGTGAGCCAAAGTTTTGGAGGTACAGACCAGCAGTTATAGGAAGGAGACAGGTGGATTTTGAAAACCAGAGCAATCTTTCAGAGTGCTTTCATTTTCATCTTTTGGTGGAAAAGCAGTGTTAGAATAGCTGCACGTTCAGAAATGAACTCAATGTGGAGTTTTGAAGCAGTCCAGCTATGCAGAGCAGCTGCTAACAGGAGAGAGTTTCATTGAGCTCAGCAACACAAGCTGCATTCGTGGCCAGCAGCATCAGATGACTACAGGCGTGTGTAAAACCCAGGCATGACTTTATTTGGGGAGGAGAGTGACCAGGAGCATTCCTGGATATCCAAATAAATTTCTTCTCAAGAGACAAATTCTTTGCATTTTTGGTTTCCCAAGAGGGCGGAGAGGGAAGGCACTGAAGGGAGACCCTTTGCTTTTAGTTGTTTTGGTGTGGGGAGTCCCCTAGACAAAAACAGATGGGGCAAAGAGTTGGCAAGACTGCTAGAACTAGAATAAAGCATGACGGGTTTATTGAAAGTTACTGACTGACATCATATCCCTTTGTTTTCTCCAGAAACCTGGCAAGTGGTGTGCTATGCACGTTCACATCGCCTGGCAGATATACCACCACCAACAGAAGGTCAAGGTCAGTCTCTTGGGCACACCTGAAAACTGCCCGTTGCCGAGCGGCGCGAGGAGGGGTTTGCCTCTCGGTGTTAGCAGCTCCTTGTCGTGGCTAGTGCCTTGTTAAAGCAAAGCATAAATGTAGCACTACAGCATAACCTTCCATTTCATAGTGATGACATACCAGAATTCCTAAAGGTAGTGTGACAAGGGAGTGCCTGTGATACATCGGAGTGAGGACACCAAATCTTGGATGATAACAACCAGTTTATAGCTAGGAAGAGCTGAATGGGAAGAGCTCCAACATTGCTTCTATTTATGGCTGAGGGCACAAAGATACCAAGATAAAATTTAAGTCTGGAGAAGCTAGGTACATGCATCCTATTCCTGTTATCAGTGTTGACAGACAGAAGAGGGCACAGGAAGATTTCTTCTGTCCCTAAGATGCTTTTTCCAGTGGGACTGCCCAGGCTCCCATCAGAGTTTTCACACCCCATCTCACAGCTGGAGGTTGGCACCTGTACGTGTCTGGGCTGCTCTCAGGTCACATTGTCCAAACACTGTCTCAGTGCACTGAAGGTAGAGGGGTGGAAATCTTTTCTTTGTTAGACAAGCTTTGAGACTTCAAGGGTAAGGGCAATGGTTACTTCAGGCTCTCCTCAAACAGATGTCAGAGATGTGTATAAAAGATATAGTTTATTCTTTTAAAAGGGTATTTCCATTGCATGTGGACTGTGTGAAGAAGTTTTCTTCCCCTTTATAGTATTTGCACTGTGCTTGTCACTGAAAAATTCTGTGTTGCTCCTGAAGTTTTTCAGTAAGTCAGGAAAGGTTGGTGTTCTTTAGTGCTCATACTTCAAGAGTCAAGAGCTTGTGTAGGAAAGTAAAATTAACAAGGAGTCCATAGCACTAAGGTAGTGCTATAAGAATATGAAGATGTTGAACAGATACTAAAATCTGCAGCTAATAGAGTTTAAAAATAACCCTTTTAAACAAGGTTGACAGGTTAATTTGCTGCAGTAGACATATCTCTCTCCTTTGCTTCCTTATGTTTCCCCTGCTAGTGATCTTCATTCATCTTCCTGTTATCAAAAAAGACAAGATTATAGACCTAGAGAGTTATATGTCCTTTTTTTTTAATTTTATTTAAAGGGTATTTTCTTGAAATGAAATTATTATTCCCATGCTATCTGTGTCCTTTGAATCTTCCTTGATTTGATATTCAGAGAGAGGTCATACTGGTGTATTTATAACTCGTAGTAAATGACATTTTCATGCAGCCACTTCTTTTACCTAATACTTTTCTATCCTGCATGTTAAAAAACAGGAATAAAGGCCAGAAGTCCAGGAAAGGGTGTTACTTGACTTTTTGAGGCTGTGCGTGATGATAATTTCAAGAATAATTGGGAAATGAATTTCCTATCTCAGTTCAGTCAAAAAATGAGGAATGGTGGACAGTCAAGAAGGAGCAAAGTCCTGCCCTCTGCATGCAACCACCAAATGTGGAATCTCTGTCTGAGGGCTCTCAGAGAATGATTTCAGCCCAAGGTTGTGAAGGTGCCTTTTCTTCCACGCAAGCTGAAAAGATGCTGCCTGGCCATAGAACAGGGAATAAAATAGATTAGCTCAGAGATTTCAAGTTTCCTTGCAGTGACACCAGACTGCTTGCAAAGCATGGAAGAATTGGTAACTATCTGGCCCGCTAGTAATTGCTTGCAGAGGGCAACAGATGCTGAAGAAGCAGGCAAGACAGGAGGCTTTAAAACACAACCTTCCTGACCTCAGGAAGAGTCGGATGCAGCTGTGGATGCTGTTTCCCTGCCTGGACCTCTGCATGGAGCACAGCTCAGACCTGTGTGACCTGTCTGCATGCCCAGGGAATTCCTCAGGCAAAGCCAGGATACCAGCTCTGGACACGAAGCAGTTCTACACTCCTTCTTAGACTGACCAGTCCATCACTGGCCTGATTCAGGAGACAATTTATGCTCCATAATTGTCCCTGTCTCTTTTAGGAAAGGCTTTATGGCCCGATCTAACGTGCCATGAAATGAGTGTAGACAGTTACACTGATGTTAGTGAGGACAGACTTAAGGTGTTACACATTTGCTGGATTAAAATACATGTGTAAGGATTATCCTCAAGAGGTACTCTCTCCTGAACAGCAACTGGGGAGCAAATAAATCTGATGAGTTCTCTTTGGTACCATTTTAAGGTAACCGACACATGCCAAAATCTTTTAACACATCCTTGATATTCATGTTCCTCTTCAGATGTTTTGGGTTTTTTTCATTATTTAGAACAGCATCATTCACATGGCTGCTATTAAAGCTGCAGGCAGCTTTTGCTGTTCTGAGTAATGCCTGTCAGGGGTTTATAATTTGGTTGTTAAAAAGAAGAATAAAGAGTTCACAGCATAAAAATCTGTCACACAAGCTTCGGCTGAGGCATTTATATTTTCTGAGCTTGTTTAATTATTAAAACACTACAGTGTTGCTTTCTTAAAAGACATGACCTTAACTTGGCCATCTTTTCCATTTCAGTGTTCTTGCTGGCCATGATCTCAAAACATTGATAAAGCCTTTTTGGTTTTATTCTCATAGCTACGTAGACATGTTACTAGCAGTTGAAAAACAGCTACTAGGCACACACATTAACTTGGTCATAAGTTTTTAATACACATATTTATATCACTGGAATAGTCCATACTCTGAGCTGGCACAGTATTAAGTACTGATTTATAAAGCGTTACATGCTCCAGAGTTACTGTTAAGATCTACTGCTCCAGTGTTAGGCGTTTGTAAATGCTTTCAGCTGACCTGCACAATTAATCAGCAATCTGTGTTTAGGGAGTTCTAGCAGCACAGGTAATTGGGAATTTGGTTTTCTTCTTCATTCTATAAAACTGTTGAAGTAGGGAGCACTAAAATGAGTACATGGCACAAAGAAGAGCCCATCTTTCTTCCACTTATCATTTACAAGACATCTACCTCATCAACTTTATCTTAAAGAAGAAGGCCTGCTGATTCTAATTCCATATAAATAAAGACAACAACTTCCAGTGCTTTGGAGTGCAAGCAGTCAAAATGGGACTTCAGTTCTTCAGGCTGAAATATGCCTCGTCTGGAATCGGGTTCACTGTAGCCCCTAGCTTGCTCCATTGCAGTCTGAGAAGCACTGAAAGATGTGCTGCATCAAGTATTTCCTGATGGCAGTTTCCCAGTTAAAATTCCTGGTTCTGGTGCCCGCTGCCTTGTCTCTGCCCTGTCTGGGGGGTTCCTGCAGTGCGGAGGGTCGGCTGAGCTCTGCCTGTCACAGCTGCTGCTTCCACGCCGCTTGGGACGTGCCTGCCCACCTGGGATCAGGGCCAGAGCAGCATTTCTCTTTGGCTCTTTTTTGATTATTTTAAGACAGACCTATTCTTACAACTAAGCATCTGAGGCCTCTTCCAAGGTTTTTTTATGCTTATTCCTTAAGTCAGATCCATGCTGAAATGCTTTGCTCTGGAGGGATGGATGTGAGCATATGGGAAAACACTGCTGAAATTTGCAGGGAATGTGCATTGGGAGCCTGAGATTTTCTCTCTCTGCCTTAGATCCCCCTCCCAGGAAAACAGCTGTGCACCTATGCTCAGAGTCCCAAAAACTCATATCCTTGTTAAAATGTCAGTTAGCATGAATAAATTGCTATAGCCATGTCATTCTGAAGTGCCTTTTACTGCTATCTTTTTGGACAGTCTCCTCCAAATCCTATTTTTACTTTTCAGAAACAGATGCAGTCTGATCCGCACAAGCTGGACTTCGGCCTGAAACCCGAGTTTCTGAGCAGGCCACCAGGTCCCAGCCTTTTCGGAGCCATCCACCACCCCCACGACCTGGCCCGGCCCTCGACTCTCTTCTCCACAGCCAGTGAGTACGAGAAGCAAAATCCCCTTCTTGTGGTGTGCTCATTAAAATGCTAATCCTTGCCATGTAAAAGGAAATTTCCCATATGCTTTGGCTTATGAACTCTCTGCAAGACGTGCCAGGGGGCTGCTGGTCTATTTGATAAATATTTTAAAATTCTATACGCTTTTGAAAAAGCCAAACCTACTGAAATGCCGAGCAGGTAACAAACGGAGAATATTTCTTCACACAGTGAGGTCCGATGCATCATGGAGATGACAGGTTGGAAATAAGCTGCATTTTACATGCTCTCTTTTCCTCCCCTTATTCTCTAACTGGGAATTTCTGTTTAGAAAAGCAGCTGCCCTTTGCACAGGCTCCTAACCTGAGAGCCCTGCGCAGTGCAGGGCAGCGTCTGCTGACACGAGCTGCCGTTTAAGAAACGATAGTCGAGCCCAGAGCACAGCTGAATCCCTGTCTGAGTTTTTGCTGGGAGCTCACCCTTTCTGCTTTGTTTTGGCAGGTGGGGGTCATCCAGCCGGCACCCCTTTTGGCCCACCACCTCACCACAGCAACTTCCTCAACCCAGCTGCTCACTTAGGTACGTGCTCTCTGAACTGATTAACAGCGACTACAGCTCAGAACTAACCCACGCTGACCACTGAGACCATTAAAGGCTTCCCACTGAAGACTCTTTGAGTGTCCCGAGTACTTAACCTTGACAAGTTGTGCATTTTAGTTGTTTAATTTAGCTATTACCCAAGTAGCAGTTCTAAATGCACACATGAGTGTCAGTGACAGCATGTTTTGAAATACTTCTGGAACCACTCTGGGCGTTAGAGGAGCAGAGTGACAGGGCTGGTTAGGTTTCACTGCAGTCATGTTCAGAACCAGTCAAACAAAATGCCTTAAGGTGAAGGCTTTGGTTCATAGAGGTGTTTCTTCTCCTAATTCGTACTTGGATGTCTGCTTTTCCATGTGAGTGAGTGAGAAAGATATCCTTAAAATCTTGTGATCTGGCCTCAAATGTGTCTGTTATTGAAAAGTAGTGAAAATTAGTGAATACGTATTTAAAAATGGAGCCACTCAAGTTACCAAACGTTGTTATTTCCCTGCTAACTTCCTGGTGGTGTAGTGAGTGGTCTGCTGCCCACGGGAGCGCCTGACATCAAGACTCTGAATTGGCATTTTTTTTCGCTTAGGGAAGGATTTGGGAGGGTCACCAAATTGCCACAGCCTGACAATGTAGGTTTGTCATTCTGCACTTAGCTGCCTGTAGAAAATGTTTGGTTTGGCCTTCTTCTTCTCTCCTCTGGTATTTATCAGAAATAATTTCATCAAAATTGTGAGACTCCTCCAAAATAAAGTGAGAAGTGAATTTGCTTCATATGACTGTACCTAAAAAAAAAATGACTCCAATAGTTTCCAGCCCATACTAGATTTTTATATAGCATTAGCAGTAAATATCAAGAGAATTACAAAATGTTCAGGTCAGCGTGACGTTTCAGTATAACAGGAGATTGTATTTCTATCCCAGCTATGGTTTAGGAGACATGGCCTGAAGGTGTTTGCAGCACAGTGCCCAGGGTTAATAATGGTCTTGCTAGCCAGGGACATTTCCTGAGAACAACCATGGAATTGAATTGGAGGGGAATGAAAGGAAATAAAAATGGAGAAGTTTGCAGGTTTTAAATGAAGCAGCTACTTACAGGCCTCAATACCGTGTCTTTTTTAACAGCTTGTTTTTCTTTGAAAAAGGAAGTTGTAGTAAGATGATGCCATAAATGAAAAGGTTGTTATGTCCCACCCCTCACCATCCCTGCTGTGTTGTGGGAATGACGTTCCACTCCCCAGGGGCACGGGCTGGGCGTTCGCGCGGACTGAATGCAGCTGGATAACCCCTTAATGCTTCATCTTAATTACCGAGATGCCGGCGAGCTCCGGCTCGTTCTGTTAGCCGGATAACACATTAATGCTTTATCTTAATTACCAAGATGCTGGCAGGCTTCAGCTCTCTCTGTTGGTTTGCAGAACCGTTCAATCGCCCGGCCTCCTTCAGCGGCCTCACGGCGGTGGGTAGCAACGCCTTCGGGGGACTGGGGAACCCCACAGTCAGTGAGTCACCTCTTTGGTTATGAATCCCTCTTTGCTGTGTCGTTCAGGTTATTGAGTGATGGTGACTATTTGCTGTCTTTCTCACCTGTTGCTTAGACCACATAGCACTAAGAGATGAGAGTTTGAAAAGCGACCTGTTTCCTTCTAAATAACAGTATTTTTTAGTCGTCAGTAAATTATTTTCTATTAATTAGGATTTCTAATAGTTTGGGTTCAACATAGTGCTAAATGTCACCATTATATCATTCAGTAATTTAAAAAAAAAAATACAGAACCTATGAGTCTAAGGCATTTGTGAAATTTCTCGTGGGTTTGTTGCATGTTCAAAAATAGTTAATATGTGCAGCATCCCTAGCTGTGGATGGGAATGTGTTTTTTTTTTTTGTCCTTTCTCACTGGTAATCCAGGATATGTGCCTGGAAAAGATCACTAAGCTGCATTTATTTGTCCCAGATCATCAACATTTCTCTAGATTTGGCCAGTCACAAAAGACCATCCTTTTAAAATTCACTCTCTTCCTCCATACTTCAAATCTGGCATGATTTTGGTCACACAATATTTTACTTTGCTTCAGGATCGAATGCAACAAGTTCCATTATTTGTAGTCTGAAATAATGGTCTTTTCCTGATGCCTCCAAAATATTTGGAATAAGGGTCATTGTCACTTTTCTCTTCCTGCGTCATCCCTTGTCAATTTTACCCACAGCATTTCCCTTTCCAATTAAAACTGCCCATTTTTAGGAATGAGACCCTCTAATGAATCTCTGTTAATTTCCTTTCCTTTTCCAGCTCCCAATAATATGTATTCATTTTAACTCTGAGTGCTGTAAAAGTTTTTTTGGTAAGTACCTTCACTAGAGCATACCTTTTTCTTAAACCTTTTTGTTTTCCACTTCACCATTTCAGCACCCAACTCAGTGTTCGGCCACAAGGATGGCCCCAGTATGCAGAGCTTTAGCAACCCTCACGAGCCCTGGAACCGACTGCACCGAACTCCTCCTTCGTTCCCGACCCCTCCGCCCTGGCTGAAGCCAGGAGAGCTGGAGCGCAGTTCATCTGCTGCAGCTCATGACAGAGATAGAGATGTAGATAAACGAGACTCATCTGTTAGTAAAGATGACAAAGAAAGGTACGAAAGAACACTTCCAAGAATTGTCTAGTTCAAAGCTTGGGGCTCCGTTCCGCTTTTAACCCTTCCCAGCCTGGCACATGCTTAAACCAGAGCTTCAGCAGAGGGAGAGCTGACGTTGCTGCCCACGCCGCGAGGGGCCGTGGAGGGTGCAGGTTCTGACTCGGGTGTTTCCTCTTCCTCTGCCTCTGTTTCTCTTCTCGCTTGCACTGCACTTCATCAGAAGGAGCTTTGCTGGAGCAGAGTTCAGGCAGCGTCAAGTGAGAACAGAATCAGACCCACACACTCTTACCTTGTGGGTCACATTGTCGTAGGTCTTTTGAAGACTTAATGTGTAGATAGGTGCCTGACAGGATGAAAACAAGGGTTCCAAAGTCCATCAGACGCATATCTGCACCTCCAGATACCAAAATAACCTTGTAAATTTGACCTTGCCTGCAAAACAGACAACGCTGCCTCCCTCTTCCAAAATGGACCGACCACTGATAAAGCTGTAAAATTTCAACACTAAAATGCAGGGGGTATGTCATGTTCCAGTAGCACAGCAAGTTTCAGAGCGTGCAGTTCATCCAGTGAACCTTAACTCCCCTCAAAAAGCCACACACCCACGCCCTGTGGTTACACACCTCCAAGCACAGTTTTTATTCAGTGTTTTACATGGACTTGCACACTAACATGTCCAGGCTGGGAAGGGTTAATGGAAAGTAAAACCTGGTCATATTTTTTCTTTGTCAGGACTGTTCCCATTATACAGTTAACTCAGTAACAATTCCTCTTAACATATAAGTACCAAATTATAAGAATTTGCCATTCAGCAAGTGTCATGCCTTCCTTGAAAAATGTAGAGAGGCTGATTGAAGCTTTTTCAGTTGTGGCTTAATGGCTTTCCTGTTAAGTTTGCACATTACTTTCCTACATAATGACTATTGGTTTCTAATTTTTTAACATAAAAGAATATTTAGGAGATGGGCTTTTCTGACTTCTCTGTCACTAATCCAACGATAAGCATTAGTAGCCTTTTCTAAAAGAAGTTATGCTAACACATTAGATATTCTAAAAATACATTTAAGAGCTTTTCTATGTTGTTGTAAAATGTGAAGAGCAAGTCAAAGTACAGATCTTTTCACCTACATTTTCCATTTGGAATATTTTCTGTTTGGTAGCATAGCTTCATTATTTTCATGTCTGGTGTTAATGCTTCAAAATAAATTGCTGTTAGAAATTGGGGATTCTGTCCTGCAAAATGCTTAAGCATGTGAGTAACTTTACTGGCTTGAATGGCAAAGCATTTTAGTTACTAATGATATGGGTAGTCTTTAGAATGATGTGATTATTTCAGTTGCTGTTTCATTGTTTTCTTATGAAGTGTTTCTGCTGAAGAAAATCCCTTTCCAAATTACATTCCTTGCAAGCTGCTTTGGCATTGCCTGAACTCCATATCATAGCTCAGAACATATTTATTTTCAATAATTTAAGAGCTTAAAAGTAAACGTCATTCATACCTCATACTCCTGCACAATTATGGCTCTCAGTTTAGTACAGTAATGTTTTTGCTGATCTAGTGTTGCTGTGCATCCATCTGTGTGGTTTTGAAGAGTTCTGCTTTGCAGCATGCTCACACTGTTGTCTGTATGAGAAGATGCTGGGAAACCCTTCCTGGAGACGAGCTCCCCATGTAGATAACACCTGGAGGAGTTTGGGAGCCTCTCAGACCTGTTCTTTATCTTCAGTGGCACCCAGCAGGGCCAGGATGTAGCCCTGCTTTCCAGTTGAGATCCTAGTCTCTGTTACCTATTTTAAGCTAATTTGTTCAGATAGGAAGAGCTGGGAATCCTACCCAGAGGTATGATTTAATCTCAAAATCATCCCATCATCAAGGGTCTAACGTTGTCAGCCCCCAAATGACCTGTCTAACCAAAAACATTCATCTAGACTTCCTTTTTTTGTCAGTGGAGAGGTACCTCTGAGGCAGCTCTGGGCTTGGCCCTTCCCATCTTGGGTCAGTGCTAAGAGTGGAGTGCAGTGAGTGAATCTCTGGTTGCCCTTCTGCAATAAGCTGCGTGGCCAGCGTGCCACGGCCCCCTCCCAGCTGCAGTGAGATAAGCTCACTCCTCATGACAGCTGTGACAGTAGGAAACTGCAGTCTGTGAGCCCTTTCTAGGTGCAGAGCTGGCTGGGGAGTCACACTGCAATGTCCTGGTACAGTCCCTGCTTTCTCCTGGAGCCTTGTTTGCAGTAGTGGAGAGTTTCTTTTTGTTTTAAGGAGTGTCTCATTTGAGAACATGATCTGAAATTTCTTCTTTGTGGAGACAGAGGCTTAGAGCTGTTCTCATATTATTAACCTAAGGAACCCTTGGCAAATCTGATGATGAAAAGTTACTCCCTCTCTGACCACTGAACTACATGTAGTTCATTTAAGTGAGCTCTAATCAATAGCCTCTTGAGATAATGCCATCACTGTAATTGAACAGGATGGAATTGGTAAAGGAATATGTTATTTTGGTCACACAGATGTTTTTCTTTAGTTACAGAAAATGCGTGTTATTTTCTCTAAATTTTATGCATTAAATGCATCAATTACATAGAAAATTTACTAAATATCAACAAAAGGACTCAATGAGCTCTCCTAGTGAAATAAAACAATTAATGGTGCCCTCTGAACTAGTCCCATGAGCAGAATAAATGAAAGACTGGGTATTGCAGAGTCCACAAGCCAGTGCTTTCCCAGCAGTGTAAAAGAATCAAGTCTTCGTTGAGGAGCCTTCACTGGACTGCCTTGACTTATTCTCAGTGTCCAAATCTGGAAGCTGTTAAATCAAATGCCTTGACTTCTGGTGGAGAGCAGGAGGAGGGAAGTTGGAGCCAAGACACAATTTCCAGACTGTTTAGGACACAGTCCATCAAAGCAGAACCTGATACCAAGGAATTAATTGGTAGTTAGTGCAGACTAGGCAGTTCTGGTATCAAATGCTCCATCTTACAAGTGTTTTCTAACAGTCACATTCTGGACTCTCAGAGATCTCTCAGACATGGCCATAAAATGACAGTTTTAGCACTTCAGTCTGGACACAGCAAAAGATGCATCTGATGAGGATATAATAATGAGGGTTTCCTTTTCAAAGATATCTTTTCTGTAGGCGCTGCAGTTCCACCATCCAGAAGTACTTACAGGTAGAAATCTTACGTGGATCAGCTCAGCAAAAAAAGTAGGTAGCAGAAACTGCACAGGTGAAGGAGCAAGTGTCCACTTCAGAGCTGCCCTTCTGCCAGCCAGTGTTGCTCACCCTGTCCAGAGTGAGTTCCAGCCTCTGTCCTCATCTGAGCACGTTCAGGCTGCACCTTGCTGAGAGGAGGCTGCAGCACCCAAAGAGACGGTGGTGTAGGAGGCTGGAGCTGGTTGGGACTGGCCTGGGCCTCACCACTTCCCTCACTTTTGCCTCTAACAGCCCATTGTCCAGCACTCCCCATGAACAGATTTCCCTGCTCAGCTAACAGCACGTCTCCAACACTGACTAACTCTGTGAAGAGACGTAACTCAGAGACCAGTTGAAATTAGTGAGAGGTTAAAGTCACTGGAACTGAGGCATTAGATTTAACTTATGCATTTGATTCTTTTGAAATAGGAAAGCTTTTTCACTTAGGGTTGCCCATAACAGCTCCTGGTCAACACTGCTTCCAGAAAATAATGGTACAGAATCCATTCTGTACCAATTCCATTTCAGACCATAATTCTTTAATATTTTGTGCAACATAAATAAAAAGATGAAATGGACAGTATTTTGAGACTTCCTATCACTGGCAGGGAGAAGCATTGGCCCTGTCCCTGCTCTGCCTGCTCTACCCTAGAAGCAGGAAAGAGTTGGTAATCTGAAGAGCAGCTGGCTCCAGGGGAGTGATGTTTCCAGAGCCACCCCAAATGATGGGCATACAGGGTAGACTGATCTCTGCTGAGGAAGTCAACATGTAATCTGCACCTGATGGCCATCTCTGGGAAAACACTTGCACTGAAGGGCATTGCACACTTGGAGAAGTGCCTGCCTGTTCAGAGAGGTGCATTGTCACCATCAGTACTACTGTCCTGAGAAGGTTTCTTTTCAGTTTTAAGAAGTACATTGGATTGTGAGAAGTAAACTGAGAAGCTTAGATGATTGAAGAGAATAGAGATAAGAAACCAGTAAGGTACATAGGTCTAGAGATCTTTGAAAAAGCCAGTTGAACAAAGTGTCATCTATTTTCCTAAATGTATCGTTAATAGAAGAAGCAGGTAAAATACTAATAACCATGTAATTTGGATTTAATTGCCTCACTTTTTTTGGATGAAATGCATATGCTTTTATTTTTATTAAGGCCATTACCTTAGATGTATGTGTACTAGAGCTGGATTCCCTTGGAAGCCTTCTGTGGACTTCAGGGTTTGAAATCTCAATCAGATCATTCACAAAGCAGCTTTGGGGATCTTCTTCTGGGTTGAGATAATAGAATAGGCCTAGTTCAGAGATGGGCTGTTCTGTCAGTGTTTTGGGTGTGCAAAAGGAACAGTGCATTTACTGGTGCATGTTACTGGCTTTCTGCAGAGCAAAGAGTATAAAGTCAGACACCCTTTGCTTTGTTTCATTCACAGAGTTTCTCGTGCCTTCATTTTTACACTTCTTTCTTCTAGGGAAAGCATTGAGAAAAGACACTCCAGCCATCCTTCGCCAGCACCTATCCACCCAGTAAACTCCCTCGGACATAACCGCAGCTCGAACGAGCAGATCAGGAGCCATCTGAATCCCGAGGGTCGAGAAAAAGAGAAACCCAAAGAACGAGAGAGGGATCACTCCGAATCGCGGAAGGAAATTAATGTTGAAGAGCACAAGGTGAAGGACAACTATATTTCGGAGAAGGAAGGCCTGAGCCATGAAAGCCGAGTGGTGGAAGAGTCTAAGCAAATGCCCAGGGTTCCTTCGCCCTACGCTAGGCCCCCCGTTGTGGAGAGCACCAGGCCCAACAGTACTTCAAACCGTGAGGCCGAGCGGAAGAACGAGCCGGCGTACGACAACCCGAAGAAGAGCAATGAAGTCAAAGTGAAGGAGGAGCGAAAGGAAGACCATGATGTTCAACCTGAGGGACCTCAGACTCATAGGTCATCTGATCAGCCACCACCGATATCTACATCTAACGTCCATCCAAGTCCTCTAGTGTCTATGCCCATGACTGTAGGTGTAACTGGTATACATCACATGAACAGCATCAGTGGCCTGGACAGGACTCGCATGATGACCCCTTTTATGGGAATTAGCCCAATTCCTGGTGGAGAACGTTTCCCCTACCCTTCTTTCCACTGGGATCCAATGAGAGATCCCTTAAGAGATCCGTACAGAGAGCTGGATATTCACCGGAGAGACCCCCTGGGCAGAGACTTTCTGCTAAGAAATGACCCCCTTCATCGTCTTTCTACGCCGAGGTTATACGAAGCAGACAGGTCGTTCAGGGATCGGGAACCTCACGACTACAATCACCACCACCATCACCACCACCCTCTCTCTGTTGACCCTCGACGGGAGCATGAGAGGGGCAACCACCTGGATGAGAGGGAGCGGTTGCACATGCTGCGGGAGGACTACGAGCACGCGCGCCTGCACTCGGTTCACCCGGCCGCCTTGGAGGGGCACCTGCCCCACCCGAGCCTCATCACGCCAGGACTTCCTAGCATGCACTACCCCAGAGTCAGCCCCCCGACGGGGCACCAGAACGGCATCCTCAATAAAACTCCTCCCACAGCAGCTCTCAGCGCCCCTCCGCCTCTCATCTCTACTCTGGGACCTCGGCCTGGGTCTCCCAGAAGGACTACTCCTCTGTCAGCAGAGATGAGAGAGAGGCCTCCTTCTCACACCCTCAAGGACATCGAAGCTCGATAAGCAGAGTGAGACTAAACAAAAACCAGAGGAAGAGGGACAGGACGTTGTAAATGAACATAATATAAAGACCTTCTTACTAGTCATTGATACAGACTGGGGATGTGACCCACTGTACAATATGTATAGACCTGAGTGCAAAGATTTTGAAATGGTTTTTTTTGTATATTACATGTTGAAATTTTCCAGATCTTTTAGCCAAGTCCATATGTTCCTCGTGTCTCCTACTCTATTTTATTTCTAGCTTAAAAATTTCAAAATTTGAACTGAAGAACAAGACGTTAATCTGAGGGATTTGACTAGAAACAAGCCACCACCGATGTCACCCGTACAAAGCTCTTTCAGACCTGAAGTGAAGACAATTGTAGATATTTATGTAAAAAGATTGCTTCATGGGTTAATGGTTCATATATGCAAAAAGGGTAAGATGAAAGCTTTACTTTGTACAAATGTAAATAGATAAAATTAAGTAACATAATACATTAATACTTCTTAAACTGTGCTATTTGCAAACTTAATATTGATCAACACAGTCTGCTTATGCTGTGTTCCATATATTGTTATAGACAGCTAAACCCCTTCAACTATGCAATGAATTTTAAGGCTTTTCACAAAAGCCTTTATAACTCAAAGGAGCCTTTTCAACACACAACATACTTAAAGTCATATTTTCCCTGAACAAGCTCATCTATGCTAGAAGCCTCTTTCTCTTGCTTGTTTTGATGAAGAAACAGCCCGTTGGAAGTGTAGTTCCCTGTCTGAACCCCCGCATCAAGATGCTGATGTTACTGTAGCTCCTGTGCCCCGTAGGAGGCGTCAGGGTTAGCGGTCTGTAGTCACTGAGACTGTAGCTGTGACAGGTTGGTTTGCAGTCACATTCATCTGGGTTAAACAGAGTAATAATCAAATGCTGGATATTCTCCAGAACTCGTCACTTCACGTGTCAAATTTATTTTTGGAAGAACATCTGCTTATAGCCGTTCATGTCTGTTCTTATTGCCAGTGTGTCATTTTTATCTGTACACACTTTTTTTTTTTCTTTTGGGGGGTGTGGGGGATTTAAGTGATTTTTAGCTACATTGAAACAGATCCTACAAGAAAGCTATTAACTTTTCTAAATGATGGATATGTTTTCAACTGTGGATCAGTAGTTTAATTAATGAACTCCGATGCAGATTTCATAATGCGATTTGTTGTATTTCAGTTGGTAATAAAGTCTGTGAATAGTTAACAGGTCAGCCTTGGTGTTCCCTAATCATACAAGACATGAAATAATGTGAAGAACACGGTCCTTTTTAAAAATATACATCAATCTTCTGAAATCTGTCTTTTCATAACACACTTTTTTATAACGCGTTAAGTTTCTTGTCTAAATATTTGGAGAGAATATGACTTTATCAGAGAGAATTCAATATCTTGTCTACTGGACTGTAAAATATATGTATGAAATAAAATTAGTTCCATTGGTCTTCTAGTGTATTAAAGTGCTATCTGAAGTTGTTATCCTGTTTTGGCAAAAAACAAAAAAAAAAAAAAAAGAAAAAAGTTACCTACAGACAGTTGTTTCTAATGATCAGAGATCTATTTTAGTAGTCAACTGAAGGTTTAGTTGTGAGCTTCAGATTTTGTGAACTCCAGATGTTGTGCAGTGTTTTTTTTTTTTTTAAGAACAAAAGGAAAAATACAAAAAAAAACCCAACCCTGAAGAATATGTACACTGGAACCGTAGTGGTAGCTTTCAGTATTGTAAAGAGATTGTTATATACGAACCTTTTTGCTGTTTATCCTGTATGTAATAAAGTCCTTTCTAGATCCTATGTGAACAGAAAAGTGAAGCGGCTCTCAATCTTCAGCATGTTTCCTCATCAGCGAAGACTTGTGTAATGTAAATTGTGCCATGTTATTAAAAAATGTGAACTAAACTGCTAGGTGCTTCTTTGTGTGGAGTACCCCATCGTTGCTGTGGGGAAGAAAGGCTTTTTCCCACGAGTGGGGTTTTGTTCAGAAGAAATACCTGTTAACAATGTGAAAGAAATGGCAAGCTTTTATAAGCCATCTGAGTGAAATTATTATAGTCATGAGGAAAAAAGGAACAAAAAGGAGACCAGATCCTTGGCTTGTCTGGATTCTTTAAAATGTGCTATCACCCTACTCACTGTAACTTTTAGTTAACAGATTGCTCTTTCAGGGTAGTCTCTTACTTAGATAGGTGGCTGCATGCAAAGCCCTTTTGTGCATTTGTGCAGTCCCACACAAGCCAGGGGCATTTTTCCAGTTTTCATCAGCTAAACATATGGCTGTTTGTTATGATGAACAATTTGTACATAAACATCTCCAATTTCTTGGAAATTGTTTAGTTCCTAGTACAGCTTTTGTAGGGTTCCTTTTTTTTGGGAAAAAAAAAAAAAATTAGCTCTTCATGATACATGATTTCCAGGAGGGTTGGTTTTTTTTTGTTTTCCCACAAGTTTATTGCAAACACTTCAAAACCTTTACCCAACTTACTTTGGCAGAGGTAACATGGCACTGAAAATTTCTTTCCTGAGTAAGGGTTAGAAAATCTTTCTCCACCCTCAACAACTGGCAATTGTTTTGCTAAGCAATTAAATGTGTGCAGGCACATATTCAGTTTGGTTTTGTTTTTTTCTTCAGCCCTGTGGCACTTCTGTCTGTGTTTCTCTCTTTCTCCCATGTAAATCTAAAGAAGGTGGAATTTTCCTGAATTTCAACCACATAACTATGAGTGAAGAATAGCCCAATGTCTTTTTGAAAATCCAATTTTGTGTAGACTGTACAGAATGTACAATAGCAGCATAATGTGCAAAAAGGACTTTTTTGTTTGTTTTGTGAGGAGCCCACATCTTGGTCTTCTGGATGCACATAATTAAACAACTGTTTCCAAAGGAAACTAGCTATAGGTGGCTGTAGAAGGATGAAAACTATGGGAGCAAGCTTGCCTAGATACAGTGTGAGGGGCCTCAGGAGAGAGGGTCTGAGGAGAGTATCTGGCAGGCTTGTCTCAGAGCATTGCAGTAGCAGTCCTGCCAGCTTGGACAGTGTCTTCCAGGGGAAGGAATATGGTGTCTGATCGCACAGACGATGATCCTTGTCCTCCCAGGTGCTGAGCACACTCCTGCTGATGGTCCTGAATTCCCAGTCAAGCCAATGGATGAATCAAGCCCAGAGTCCCAGAAGGCACGGAGGCATTTCACTGCCTCTGGCTTCAGTACTGCTCAGGTGGCTCTGCCTTTGCAGCTCTGGGTGTTGTAAGAGCGGCGATGCTCAGAGGAATGTACCTGGAACGTGCAGTAAGAGGTGAAACAAGTTTTGAATGCTTTCAAACTTCCAGGTGCATTCATGCCTTTTCAAAAGTTCGACAGAGAAACGTTAGTTACAGGTATAGACAAATCTTCTGAGCAGGGTTTCCCAGGCAGGACACTTGTCTTAAGTCTTATATTTTGAATCACTAGTATTTAAAAACTAGAGTTTGTTGAAAGACCATGGCAAGTACCACCTGTGGGAATGAGATGAGTCACAAGGGTATTATTCTGTAGTGTGTGAGAGATGGGGATCATAGGAAACCCTGAGTTACTATGCTTACAACACCCAGGACCTTTGCTTTACACTTTCAAGCTCCCATCCTCCCACCCCCTGACCTGTTTTCTTCTTCACAGCTTCCTATCACCAGCTGAGATACCAGCTAAAGCAGTGTATAGGAAGTGAATCTTTGAAAGCCCATGTAGCATTTTGTCCCCTGGTACAATGTTCACTTTATGACGTGCTTTGTCCCTTCTTTTTTAACTTTCTCTAGTGTCAGCTTTATTTTTCATTATTAAATAGGTAGCTCTTAACCTGTTTTTCTGCTGTTCATGCCTTACTGATAGTCTCTTGCCTTTTTGCCGGTCATGTTCTTTTTCATGACTTCTGATAGGTAAAACTGTTATAGGCAGCTACAAACACTGCAGACAACTTTTCCAAGAGCCATAGACACTAAGTATTTTTGTTCCTTTTTACCTGTGCCTGTATGAGTTCATGAAAATTTGTAGTCCTTGCTGGAAGACAGGGAAATGGAGGTTGGGGAGGATTTTACTGGAAGTATTTTCACTTGCTTTTGCTGTGCCTTGTTAAGTAAATATTTAGCATGATTCTTGATAATCTGAACTCTTAACTACTGCTTCACACATGCAGGTGACCTCTGCTGAAAGCCACCTGGGGCACTGGAACAAGGTAACAGACCACTGGTTATATTCCATTCAGAGAGGAGCTGCTTGGCTTACTGCTTTTGTTTCTGGCAAGACGGAAGCGCGAGCTGTGGGTCAGGCAATGACCAAAGACTCAAATTGTGCAGGGGCTTGTTACTCCCACGGTGACTGGGTTAAGCCTCACCTGGATAAAGCGACTGGCTTCTTTGGACTCCAGCTGCCATCTCTGGAGGCATGCACATCCATAGCTTCAGAAGGAGCTCTGGAGCAGGATCCCACCTTAAACAGTCTGAATTGCCTCTTGAAGGTGACTTCCTTAACTCCAGATGGAGACTAGCCTCTAACTTGCCTGGTGCAGAGAAGTACATGCCAATGAGTGGTGGGACTACCTCCTCTCTTGTTGATTTTTACAGCCTTGTCCAATCTTCCGTCCTTTGCAGTGTAAAGTACCAGTCCCAGGCATCCTTTATGTGAAGCTCTCTGGGGCACAGTCCATCCCTTACTATGGGACTGCACTGTGCCTGATGCCCTGCTGGGGTGAGTGAGCATTTCTCAGCACTGCTATAAAGCAAAAAACCTTCAGCAGTGCTATAGACCAAAACGAAAACTGAAGGCCTCGGTGAAGGCCATGGTAACCACTATAGAACACTGCATATTTTGCTACCCAAGAAGAAATGAAGCTGCAGAGTGTCCCCCCTGCACCCTGTCTCCATCTGGAGGGGCTTACACTGCTTATGGCCGTGGGCAAGGTGGAAGTTCCTGGCTGGCAACGCCTCCAAGTGCCTATGTGGAGCTGGCAGTTTCCAGAGATTTTTTTTCCCCTTTCTGTCAGCTGTGTGTTGGGGCTGGGGGGGGAAGCACTTTCTTGCTGTGCAGGTATCTTGCAACTAAAGACAATTTTAGCACAAAGATATTTCCTCATCATAAAGAATATCCCCTCCTTGTTTGCATACAGAAACGTGTATT